GGTTCAGGGTATCTCGTAGTCGAGCAGTCTCGACTAGAGCTTTCTTACTTGTTTTCTAAATGATTTCAAACTATTCTATTTTACTATACTTATTCCTTAATGTCATCGGCACCTCTACACCACACAAGTGCTGTGTATGACGGTTGCATCACGACTCTTCTTCCTATTTCTACAAACGCTTCATAGATCGAAGCTTGCGTACGCTCCGAATGCCTCTGTGGCTGATGAGCCATGGGTGTCGTAACTTTCCATAAATATCTAATATCAAAATTAAGTCGAATATAATGATTAAACGCTTTCAAATAATGTTATTAGTTGATGTATTCAACCAGAATGATTAATATGTAATTCTGTATATTTGATCCTGTTTTCAATTCGAACACTTGTTTCACTATATACGATGCCGACTGCTCTAAAAAATGGGTTTAACTTACATATGTTTGTTTGCTTAAAAATAAAGAGAAAATAGGGCTTATTTTGTGTATGAATGCATTTGGAGACTATTTTATTACATTGTTCTAATCAAGGACATATATATATATATATATATATATATATATATATATATATATATATTAATTTCTGACTGTTGCAAATATATTCACAACAACATAATACCCTGAATTGTAGTTTGCAATGGAGGTAGGGTACATTATTATCATTAATTGAACACCCAACATCAGCATCTATTTGATATGATCAGCTCTGTGAAGTGGAAATATCGCTTAAGATACATTTGTACACATGCTTACACAACTATTCTACAGTGGAGTGTCATTCGAGTACAATGGCTTTGCGGATCCTTCTTATTGCTTGCGCTATTATTCAGCTCTGGATAACCCTCAAAAACAGCTGTCATGTGAGTTGGAATCAGCATGGAAGCAAAGTACCTAATTGGGTTTACATATATTATTAATAGGAGGCTGAGGCTGTTGAATTCAAGATGACAAATCTGGTTTGCGAGACTCTCAATAAGTCATGGATGGTCTTTCATAAATGCAGGCTTCGTGCCGTCAGTCGTAATAAGACTTGCATGTATTTGAATGGAACTATCCTGCATCCTGCGTATAAGATTCATACCAGACTTGAAATCTTTCAAAAGGCCAACGGCTACAAACCATGGCTCATTAATACGACAGTTGATGTCTGCCGTTTTCTGAGGAAACCATTTAATCCAGTTGCAATAACCATAGCAAAACTTTTTATCGAATTCTCCAATTTCAACCACACGTGTCCTTATCTGGTATGTATTTACAACTGAAATAACTTGAAGCTAGCTCATTTTCCTCAAATAGGGCCCACAAATCGTCGACGGATTTTATCTCAGATATAGTACTCTGCCGCATGGTATGCCAACTGGCGAATATCTTTTGAGCCTAACTTGGCATTTTGATTTGAAGCCACAGTTTATAACAAACATTTACTTTAAATTCACAGAAGACTTAAAGGCGGATACATAATTGATCGTAAAGTTATTTGTCTACAGTTACGAATAAATTAATATATACGATGACCTAAACTTTACAAATTCAGCAATTAAAGTTAGTCAATGCGAAAGAACATACAAAAGATTTTTTAGATTTTTATTATCGTCTATATGTATCTATTGGAATTGATGATACATTTGACTGGTTTTTAGTAATTTAACTTTTTTCCAAAATTGTATTTACTCGAAGTAGTCAAGCAGAACATCTGATTATAATTGAACACGATATGCACATAATTGCTTACTTCATGTAATTGTAAGATGTATGTTTGTTTTGAATATGTGGGATCGTCGTCAAAATAGTCAGACTATATGGCAATTGTAGAACCTCTGTCTATGTATATGGCAATTGTAAAACCTCTGTCTCTTCCAATACTCTGCTTAGAGTATTTCTCGTCAATTCTCTACCCTGGTCAAGTGGCCATCTCTCTCTTTCTCGCTCTCTCTTCTCTCTCTCTCTCTCTCTCTCTCTCTCTCTCTCTCTCTGGCGGGTTAATTTGATTTGGCGCAAATTGCCACAGCTATACAAATATACAATATTTGTAATTATTTCTATGGGAGCTGAAGCGAAAATGGCTTTCCAGTTCTAAATATAATTGTTATCTAATTTATAAATACATTGCCAAGTTACATTTTATACGGGAATCATCACGATGCGCACTGTTCTCATAGTCTGTGGCATTCTTCAGCTTTGGATTGCTCTTAAACTGAGTTGCAACGTAAGTTGGAATCTAATGAAAAAGTCGTTTGTTCCTTAAGCTAAGTTAAAGTTTAAATGAACTTCAATTTATTTTCCTAGGAAGCTGTTATGTTTAAGATGACAAACGCTGTTTGCGAAAGCTATAACGAGTCGTGGGTTGTTATTCACAAATGCAGAGTTCGAGCCATCAGCCGAAATAAGACAACATTCAATTTTAATGGAACTTTCTTACACCCAGCCTATAAAATTCATTATCGCGCCGAACTGTTCCAAAAGGCCAATGGCTATAAGCCTTGGCTGGTAAATGCCACCGTCGATGTCTGCCGCTTTCTTAAGCGGCCATTTCATCCGTTTGCCATACTGCTGGGTAAACTCTTTCTTGAATTCTCCAATTTTAACCATACCTGTCCCTACAATGTAAGTATCGTAATCCAGAATCCTGATTTGATGATAGCATACATTTGCGTTCTTTTCTTTTTTGAACAGGGAACACAAATTATTGATGGGTTTTACCTGAAATGGACGGCCCTGCCGCATACATTACCAACTGGAGAATATCTATTGGGCATGACTTGGATATTAGATGGGAGACCAACGTTCATAACAAACGTTTACTTCATCTTTACAGAGGACTTAACGGCGAATCATTGAATATTTCTAAGGTGCACAACTTTGAAGGATAGAGTTTTCTTGTTGATTTCTATTATCTCAATCTATAGATCAATAAAGCTTTAGTCTCACCTATAACAAAGATCGAAATGCTTTAAATAACACTCGAATCATACTCAAATTTTATATATTCGATTTAAATGTGTTTCTGAACTAATTTGTTATGATGACAAAATCTGAAACGCAAATTATAATTATTAAAGCGATTTAACAAATTATTCTATAAGTGCACTTTAATGGAAGCAGTTACTCAGTGCAATGAAACGAAACCCCGTTCATTAGGATATATAATGCATTGCAATTCAGTTTAAATATTATTTCCAATATTGAGAGGTGGATCATGGGCATTAAAATTGTAATATTTGTTTGTTTGTTAGAAATATTAATAACTCTTTACCAAAGCTACAATGTAAGTTGGTTTGAAACGTATTCCTTTACTTTAATATTTTGAGTGTTAACGTTTCAGGAAGCTATTGAATTTAAGATGACGAATGCGGTTTGCAAGAGCCTCAATGAATCCTGGATCAATATCCACCAATGTAGACTACGAGCGATTAGTCGAAATAAGACAACGTTAAATTTTAACTCAACTGTCCTGCATCCGATCAATGTTCTACACCTTCGAATTGAATTATTCAAGAAAGCCAACATGTATTTGCCATGGCTGATAAATGAGACTGTCGATATCTGTCGTTTCTTGAAAAGGCCTTTTAATCTAGCTGTTATAACAGTTGTAAAGCTTTTTCAAGAGTACACCAATTTCAACCACACCTGTCCCTATGTTGTGAGTCATTAAGTGTTAAAAATTTTCTTTCTAACAAGATATATTCCTTCCATTTCTTCAGGGACCACAAATTGTGAAGGACTTCTATCTGAGATGGGATATTTTACCACATTCCATGCCAACCGGTGATTATCTATTGGCTACTACGTGGTCATTTGATAGAAGACCACAAATTAAAGTAAAAATTTATTTTATTTTTACTGAGAATTTATAAAATAATATTCGTCTATGTATTATTTTATTCAATGGCAATAAAAATTACAGTCATTAAATGCAGTACGGGGAAATATACATATCTATCTTGTATCTCGTCACAAATTATATATGTATGAATATTAAAATGACATTTGCCATTAAAAATGTTAACTACATTGATGATTAGAATTTTCAGTCTGTTAAAAGAGCGCTTATTCTGTTCAGCGATTATTCTGTTAGCATTAACAGAGTCTATGCAGAACATGGATCAGTGACCGCATACGCAGTGCCTCTATTTAATGCGTAATAAAACGCAAGGTGTTTAATAAATTAAAATAATTGAGTAACTAATTATTACATATAACTAGACAATACAATTTCGAAATATTTATTCGCGGGTGCTAAAAAGGTATGTATGTATAAAACAAAAACAAATAAAACACGAAAATCTATGAGCTTATAACTGTGTAGTCAAAAGGCATATAAAAGCAAAACAGTGAAGAAAGCCCTAGCTGTCACGAGAGCCAGAAGGAGATAGCAACAGTTTAATTTGCTTGCGTTTGCTGTTCGAGCTGCTGCTGCTTTGACATGCATATTAGAAAAAGCGCAAAAGCAAAAACCGTAATTGTTTTTGATCTTCTTCATTTGTTTTGCATTCGCCGCTCTCAATTTAGCAAATGTTAAATGCGCTCGAAAAGCTCTCACACTTTGTATGCATTGCTGCTCCATGCATTTTCTGTTATGTTAAGAAGCAATTTGAGTGCCTGCTTACATATTCTGTTAGTTGTCAGTGCTGTAAATTCACATAATTAAGCACAAATTAACATTTTTATATGCCGCTCTCGACTATGTCAATAAAATCAAGGAAATTATGGCGTTGCTTGATTTTTCTGAGTGTATCCGTATCTATATGAACTTCAGGTTATTCACCCTTTCTCGCTTAACTTTCATTTTGACACGCAGTTGCTGTTGCCAGAGCCTTCCACACGAAGGAGGTGAGGAGTGAATGTGTAAGCGTATGTGTATGTGAGTGCAGTTTATCAAAGCGGGGCAGCGACCAGTTGCCAATGGCTGTCAGTTTCCATCTCCTTCGTCCTGGCTGTTTTCTATGCCATGCTCTGCCTCTCTCTCTCTCTCTTTCTCGCTCTTGCTATATACACATACTATATATCTATATATATCTTTCTTTTTTTATGCGCAAATCATGCTGCATCATTAAATCTGTTCGCTGTCTGAGGGATGCGGTTGCTGTTGCTGTTGCTGCTACTGCTTTTTCCGTTTCGCTTTTACGATTTGCTTTCGGTTTTTCTGGCCCTCGTTCAGCTTCTGCTGCTGCTGGTCGTGGCCCAAACTTCGCTTCACTGGTTTTTCATTTCTATGCACAAGAATTTATGGCTTTCAGCGTTGATTTTGTTTGGCATTTTTTATGTGTTTTTAAGTAGTCGTAAAGCGTAACACTTGATGAGATATTAAACGTTGTTTATACTAACACATATACAACAAAAGGGATGCTAAGCGTGAGCTTTGGTTTATTTATTTGACCCACACACACACACGCACACACATTGTTTCATTTTGTTTGATTTGATGGCCTTTTAAATATTGGTTTTGCATTTTTCATGATTGCCGCAAAAAATCGGCTTTTTTTATGAGCGTTTAATAGAATTGATGTGGGAGACATAAAAACAAGCAACAACAGCAGCAGGCCTAACAGCTTATATTCTGTTATCCTGGCTGCATGTAAATGATTAGCTAAGCGAGTGAATGACACCTGCCACAAATGTCAGACACGGACATAAAGAGACCACAAAGCCACTGCCAAGTTAAAGAGGAAGACAACGACAACGACGACGACGCAGGACCTTGTCAGTGTCTGCAAACTTGTCAATGAGCACCAACTAAATATTTTATTAGGCTGTCAGCAAACACACAGACCATACAACATTGAGCATGTGTGTGTGTGTGGAGTCGTGATTGCGTGAAATTTAGTAGAGCTTGGCGCCATGTGCGAGCGTGTGTGTGTGAATGTGTAGGGAGGCAGAGCAAAGGCTCAGACATGTAGTTCCTGATGAAACTCATCATTATCATCATCCGCAATGCTGATGATGATAATGACGAGGCTGATGATGACAAGGAGGAAGCTCGAGCTCGGCGCCTGATGAAGTTGCCTTCAGTTCGGCTCTGGGGAATTTGGCGACGTTGTCGGCAAAGTTGTTGACTCTCAGCTTGTGTGTGTATGTGTGTGTGTGTGTGTGGGTGTGTGTGTGTACGCTGTCTTGGCCAGCTCACAATTGGCTGTACGTGTGCAACATTTTTAAGTAGCTTTTCTTTCCGTGTTTGCCAGCTGCTCTGCCTCAAGTCTGTTTGTTTTATGGCAGCGTTTGTTTTAACTTTGTACGAGGAAAATGCTTTCTTTATATGCGGATGTGTGGAAACATATGTTTTCAATTTGCCAGCCAAATGGAAAAACTTGATTGAATTCCATGAGAATGAAGATCGATGCCGGCTGGCCGGCGATTCCCTTTAACTTTCTGCTTTAATCTCGAACTATGCAAAGTTTGTCATCAGTCAAAGTCGGCGACAGCTCCCCAAAGAGTCGCACAAATTACATTTGCGGCGTCTGCAGCACAAGAGGCACTCTCACAAACACACACACACACACACTTACCAACCATCAATCATACGCACCGTGTTGCGCCTGGGACGCGACTTTTGCATTTGCCACCATGATGCATGCATCGCTAGGGAATTGTCCTCAAGCGCTGGCCACTTCCTCGCATCCAGCTTCCGTTGCCATTTCGCCATTTTACTGAATGCGTCGCCTAATTGCATGCGACATTATTTTGCAGCAGTCTTCACGCCTCGCGCTAATTGAAGGACGGCAGCGTGGCATGAGCCACGAACCGTTTGGCATGTGGCATAAGGCAGTCACTCACTTGCTGCAAATTAAAATAAATTGTGAAATTAAAAGCCAAAACTTTTACTTTTGCCAGACAAACACAGGGAACGGCTGCTGCGGAGCGGGGCCCAAGGAGGTGCCAGGCCCGACGCGTACTTGCCATTGTTCGTATGGGCGTGGCTGTCTTCCGGGCTTGTTTGTCTCGTACTCAGAGTGGAGCTGACAGCAGCGCTCGTGCTCGTGCTTCCGCTCCATTTGAAGCAGATTTCTGGAAGAAACTATCAAATGGAACTGGCGAAGTGAAAGAGTGATAAGAAATGATTTGAAGAGAAGCCAAATGAGAGGAGAAGCAGATTAAGTACGACTTACAGTGATTAAGCACAGCTTGAGCTGACACTATTTAATCTGGAGTGAGCATGTGCAAAAAGAGATTCAACTTGACTGGAGGTAACTCAATTACCCAAGGATTCAGCCGAGCTATTTGATTGGGAGTACAGAGTAGTAGGTAAGTACGAGTTTTTCTGTTAAATTTTAGTTCATTTTTACAACTCTTTTAGTACAAATTATTATTATGTATATTTACAAAACTAAAACCTAGATTATTGGCATATTTCCCTGGTGCACATTTCAACTTGAACCTCTGTTTATACTATAGAGTTATTAGATCAAGCAATCCAAGTTATTTCGTCAGGTCCTGTTCAAGCTTTACACACGCTATCACAAATATCGCATCACGCACTCATCTCTAGCCTGTTTAGGAATACAAATGCTGTCGCCTACATGACAGTCATACTCCACGCTATTTGCCTTGTCTCACAAGCATTGAGCATGTCGTGCGAAAGTTGACTGTGTGTATGTGTGTGTGTGTGTGGATGTCCTTTGCCTGACATTCATTTGAAATTCGCAGAGCGTAATGACGACTTGAAGCTGCTGTTGCTGCTGCTTTGAAGCTGGAGCTGAAGCTGCTGTTGCTGCTGCTGCTGCTGCTCCTGCTGCTGCTGCTCCTGCTACTGCTGCTGTTGCTGCTGCTGCTGCTCCTACTGCTTTGTAGCTGCTCAACTTTTTGCATATTACGCACTTGGTCACGTACATTTCGCATATTTA